CGTTCAAATTCGGTTTAGATTTAATACAGATAAACCTTAATTCTATATTCTAAAGCATAAAGATTGCTCCTGAGTGCTGTAAAGCATTCCTTTAAAAAGATGAGAAAGAAACCCACGCTTATTACAAAGTTATTGCGGAATATGTTCCTCAAAAGTACATTCTACTTCCTGATTCGGCACTCTTTTTAATCAATCATAATCAAACAAATTGCGAAGACTGGAGATCCCTTACAACGATCAAACTTTGGAATCTAAACAGTCTAATACACTGAGATAATATTTGCCAATGAAATCAAGATGTCTCTCCGTGTAACGAAAGAATGATAGAACTTTAGCGAACAAGAAATATCAGCTAAACTTAAGGTTGCTGTTTACATAATCCTCGCCCAGTTGCAAAACGGTACTTACTTAATCAGCAATCAGAAACAAAAACTATGTTTATAAAGTCCTAATTCTCTAGCAGAATGGAGTTTATAAAACTAGCAAGACTATGTTAAAAGATCTTAGTTCACTAACAAAACGAATTTTTATAAAATCCTAATTCATGAACAAAACTAAGTTAATAAAATCCTAGTTCACTAAAACAAAACTATGTTTATAAAATCCTAATTCACAAACAAAACGTTATTTATAACATCCTAATTCGCTAACGAAACGGTGGTTCTCTCAAAGTCCTCATCACACAAGTTGAAAAACAGAATTGTGTCTACACATCTCTGAACAGAATGTTAAGGGCCGTACAACTAATCACTCCGCAAAACAATAGAGAAAAAAAAACCCCATGCAGTCACTGTCCACGGGCTTAAAAGACACGCATGTCTTCAGGACACTCAATAAAAATCCCAAAGGGTCCAGGAAAGCTCACACCTGGACTACTGGCTCGCACTTGACTGGTCACTCCTGCCCTGTGGCCGGCCACAAGTACGATGGTGATCGCTAACCGGATCTTCTCCGACGCTCGTTACCAGTGCGCCAACGGTGGGGTGGTTGGTAGCGAAAGTAGCCATTGTAAAAATACAATAGACTGCAAGCTCTCACACTATACACGCACACACGCACATACCATATACTCTGCCACACACACACACAAACACACACACACACACACACACAC